TCTCTCTCTCTCTCTCTCTCTCTCTCTCTCTCGCCAAACGTCCACATACAAGATGTCATTTAGTCCAGGGCGTGGTTGTTGTTAAAGATTCGCTACTGGAGCAAAGTTCCAAGTAGCACGGGCTATGGTGAGCCCGCAGATAGTATTTATAGTCCAGGGCGTTGAGAGACCCATCCATTGAGTGCCTTTGACCCCATCCCTTTCTCCTTCACAGCCTTGTGTCGCTGTGGTCACTAACGAGGCGTGTGGCTAGTACTGTTGTTACTACTGCTAGTCCTCCCCCCCTCCCGCTTCCACTACTCCCACAACCATGCCACCACCACCCTACAACCATGCCTCAACCCCCCTCCCCCCCCCACACACACACACAACCATAGCACAAGAACCAGCCACGAACGAACGTGCCACAACCACTTGCCTCCACCACACCAACAACCACGCCACAACCCCCCCTACAACCATGCATCCGGCTCAACCACAACCCCATCACCCCCCCTCCCCCCCTCCTCCAACACTAATAGCACCTCGTGTTTGCACAATTGATGTCCCCAGACTGGTCATGTATCATATTTGCCAACCTGTTATCAAAGGTAATTCTGAAGCTGTTAATACGGTGTATCGTGTATTATCTCCCCCCCCTTTTCTGCCCCCCCCCTCCGTGTCCCCCTCTCACCTCCTATTCTTTAACTCGCCCCCCTATTCCCCCTCCCTCCCTCACTTCTATCCTTCCATTTCCCTCTCTCCTATTTCTCACTTATCTGTTCTTCCGAATATTTTACTATTTTTTTTTTACTAGATTATATCTAGATATATCTAGTAAAAGATATATCTCTCTATGCCTACTGCTTTGTTCTTTCTTGCCAGGTGTTCTCTATAGGCCTATCTTGGTGTATCTACCTCTTTAGCCACCCCCCCCCTCTAAAGCTATTAACAGCTCTACACGCAGTTCAAACCTATTAATCTCTCAACCTACCCCCCCCCCCTCACCCATGCCAATACCTACCTACCTCCCTCAACACCCACACCAATACTTGTCTTTCGTTACCTTCTTTTCCTATAAACCTTCTCACCCTCTTCTTTCAATTGCACTCCCCGCTCTCACTCTCTTCTCTCACCCTCCTCTCCTTACCCTCTTCTTTCCCCCTCCTCTCTCACCCTCCTCTCTTACCCTCCTCTCTCACCCTCCTCTCTCACCCTCCTCTCTCTTACCCCCCTCTCTTACCCCCCATCTCTTACCCTCTTCTTTCACCCTCCTCTCCTTACCCTCTTCTTTCACCCTCCTCTCCTTACCCTCTTCTTTCACCCTCCTCTCCTTACCCTCTTCTTTCACCCTCCTCTCCTTACCCTCTTCTTTCACCCTCCTCTCCTTACCCTCTTCTTTCACCCTCTTCTTTCCCCTCCTCTCTCACCCTCCTCTCTTTACCCTCTCTCTCACCCTCCTCTCTCACCTCCTCTCTCACCCCCTCTCTACCCCCCAATCTCTTACCCTTTTCTTTCACTCTCTTCTTTCACCTCCTCTCCTTACCCTCTTCTCTTCACCCTCCTCTCGTACCTCTTCTTTCACCCTCCTCTCCTTACCCTCTTCTTTCACCCTCCTCTCCTTACCCTCTTCTTTCACCCTCCTCTCCTTACCCTCTTCTTTCACCCTCCTCTCCTTACCCTCTTCTTTCACCCTCTTCTTTCACCCTAATCTTCCTTAC